AGCTGGCTGCAGCTCTCCTCCTGTTCCTCTGCACAGCCAGGACAGGTGTGTATGCAGCTTTGGGAAGAGCAGAACCATTTTAGAGCTGTATTAGACATCATCACCACAAAGTCAACACGGATGACTTTACAAAATGACAGTGACTGTTGCCAGTCTCTCTGGCTGCTGCTGCCCCTCGTCAGCATAGTTTCAGGTAGCTGGGACTTTTTCATGTCTGTATTCTCCATTATGTGGATATATTGTTGTTCTTTCTGCAGTGTTTTGCAAAAGTGTTTCTCCAACTTATGGTTTAAGGAATTGGTCTGAAACAAATTGTGAATTATATTCATAAAGAAATATCTATAGCTTGATATTTGGGCACAAATTCAGTTATACATGTGGGCATACACTAAGAGTGCTGATGGTGGAGGAGCATCTGAGTATAGCGAGTTAGAGTATGTATGAGAAGTATGAGTTTTTCTTGGAATTGGCTAATCGTGGTGAAGGCAATAGCCAGATTCCTAGGCCGGCCTCCGAAAGTCTATTTAACATAGAATATAACTGAGTTATGCTTAGAATCCAACACAACATTTTTAAAAAATTTATGTTATGCTCCTTTAATAGTTAATGGGAAGACATTCTGTTTTCCAGAAAGAGATCTGAACAAGGTATATATTTGTGTGTGTATGTGAGGGGGAGAGAGAAAGACAGACAGACAGAACTCATACATTATATCCAAAAGCATATCTGTGTGAGGAGGAATTAGCAGGAAGTCTTATCAAGGAATAAAATTGCATTAGAAGCCAAGTAACTACAACCAGACTGGTTACGCTAACTCTTTGAAAATGGCAATTATATACTGTGGCCTCTGAAGCTCTTGCCTTGTCTTACAAAATTGAAGTACAAACTGTAGCAGTTGTGTTACGCTGTCCAGGGAGAAAAAGCTTGGAATAACCTATTTAGAAAAGGATTTGAGGACAGTGCTTAATGAGGATGATGTCCCTGGGACAACGTTAGCTTTATGAAATGCAGGTGGTCATACTTCCAAGTGTAACAGTGGAAGAATAGGTGACTAAAAATCATAAAATGGTTTTGCATTAGCTGTGAATATTAGAAGCAACTCGGCCTTTGTTTTTTGGTAAAGTCCTTTTTTTTTTTAAGATGTATTTTATTTATTTGAAAGAGTTACAGAGAGAGGTAGAGACAGAGAGAGAGATCCTCCATCTGCTGGTTCACTTTCCAGTTGGCCACAACGGCTGGAGCTGCACCGATCTGAAGCCAGGAGCCAGGAGTTTGTTCCAGGTCTCCCACGTGGGTGCAGGGCCCAAGGACTTGGGCCATCTTCTGCTTTCCCAGGCCATAGCAGAGAGCTGGATCTGAAGAGGAGCAGCCGAGACCAGAACCGGCGCCCATTTGGGATGCCAGCGCTTCAGGCCAGGGCTTTAACCTGCTGTGCCATAGTGCCAGCCCCTGGTAAAGTCTTAAACTGGGTTTGCTTTTCGGTTTCTTTAAGAAAACAGTAAAAAGCAGGGTTTAAGATACTACAGTTGCACATATTTAATGTTAAAAATAGCAAGAGTACACAGCGGGACGAATCTGGATTGTGGATGAATATTTAGTAATAGCTGTAAGGAGAGAAGGTTAAAATTAAATAATTTGCACTGTATGAGTATCTGTTTTCATATCTAAAGCCTCATTGAAAGATATTTGATGCATTTTGAGAAGTACAGATAATCTGTATTTCATGCTTTCGATTTTCAGAAATCTCAGGGTTATGCTAACATTTTTGACATGGGTGCAAATTAACTGAATTTTAAGTAGGCCTGTGAGAGTTGATGGCACTGATGAGACAGATATTACAAAACAATTTTAGTCACCGAGAAGATGAATTTGCTGTAGTATTATCTATACCATGAAAATATAGACATTCCAATCACTTTCCCATTTATGGTTTCTGCTCTAATTAAGCCAGTTTTGATCCTTCAGTGTTCCGCGTGAAATGAGCAAACATTTGCTGCGCCCTGGTCTAGCCAGACTGACCGTTAAGAGAGGGCCGCCGGAACTGGACACTCGGCCTGAAATCTGATGCACGCATCCTCTCTGTAGGCCCTTCCTTGACTTGGCTGATTTTGAAATCACCGGTTCAACTTGATTTTCATACTTCTGTAGACTGTTTCTTTTCATATTTTGAAAGAAAATCTGGAAAATAATTATATTTTGCTTTTCTCAGGCATAAGTTGTAATTTAAATAATTCCGAGGGGCTTGAGCCCTTCACCTAATGGTGAAGATGCCAGTTACGATGCTTGGGTGCCACGTCAGACTACCGGGCCTGAGCCCCACCCAGCTCCTGGTTCCAGCTTCCTGCCAGTGCAGACCTTGTGAGGCAGCAGCGATGGCCCTCGTGATTGGGTTCCTGCTACCCGTGCGGAGACCTGGATTGAGTTTCAGGCCTGTGCCTGGCCTGGATCAGTCCCAGTCGTCATGGACATCTGGGGAGTGAACCAGTGGATGGGAAGTTTTCTCTGTCTGCCACACAAACATTTAAAAGTATTCCCAGGAATTTAGTTTTCTGTCCTCATGTGTTTAATTGTGAAGCCAGTCCAGTGCTATAACACAGCTTATTGTCATTCAGTTCCTGTCATTTGAAGTCCAAATGTTTTCTTGGCTGGTGAAACTAGGAATGGTTACAATTCCACATAGTTGGGACTTCGAGCAGGACTGGCCTTTGTAGAGTGGGGGCTAGGGCACAGCACCCTGTTGCCACCTGCGTGCTCTGTGCAGTTAAGGTGCTAACAGTTCCCGGCACATTCTTGTGAATCCCTCGAGACTGAGCTCAGGTATTTCCTCCAGGAAGCCTTTGTTAGAACGAACAGTGCCTTGTCTGCTGCCCTGCATTGAGAAGTAGAGTTACAGACAGTGAGAGGGGGAGACAGAGAGAGAGGTCTTCCGTCCTCTGGTTCACTCCTCAAATGGCCACAGCGGCTGCAACTGTGCTGATTCGGAGCCAGGAGCTTCTTCCAGATCTCCCACATGGGCGCAGGGGCCCAAGCACTTGGGCCATCTTCTACTGCTGCCCAGGCCATAGCAGAGAGCTAGATCGGAAGAGGAGCAGCCAGGACTAGAACCGGTGCCCATATGGGATGCCGACGCCGCAGGTGGAGGATTAACCTACTGTGCTGCAGCGCCGGCCCCAAGCTCAGCTTTAATCTTCACCTTCATGCACCCCAGGGGCTGTTTGGCCTGCTTGTCGTGTTGCCATCTGTGGCTCCTCCTCCATTACACCACACTCGTAGTATGTCTGACGACAGTTGCTGACCATTCTTCGGGCCTCTTTGCGGGCTCCTTTGTTTTCGTGCCCTTTAAAGGGTCTTCTCTGTGGTTTAGTCCTCGACCCGTTCCTTTCTTACATTCTTCCTGGATTCAGTCTGTGGGCTTTGCTTGCTTCCTGTTGGGTCATTCATCCGGTGTTCCCTGAGCGTTGACTGCACTGCTCTGGAGAGGGGACGCCCCTGCCTGTACATGCCCGCTCTCCTGCTTGTGTTGTGAGGCCAGACTCCATTCCCAGGCTGCACTTCCAGTGCGTCTCTGAGTGTTTTCACCTGGTTTCCTGTTGGAACCCCACCCCCCAGCAGGGATGTGGGGGTGTTGAGGGCAGCTCCCCCTGCTGATCCCATCTTAGGTGGTATCTTGCCATCCATCAGGCCACCCTCCCTGCTCAGTCTCCCAGACCTGCTGCGTCTCCCTCCTCAGTGTGACAGAATCTGGGCTTTCCCTCTCCCAGCACTGCTGCCAGGTTAGGACCTCAGCCTCACCTGTGTGCTTGCTGTGCCCCGGCCTGACTTGCTTCCAGCCACTGCGAAGAGCCATGCTCCTGACAGCCAGCCTGACGGCAGCCCTCGGTGAAAGCTCTTAGTGGCTGTCCACGAGCGAAGCCTGAAGCCTTAAGATGACCTGGGAGACTCACCCTGCTCAGTGGGCCTGTTTCAGCTGCTTCTCTGCGTATTCCTGCTCTGTGTGGACCTGACTGCTTATGCTTCTTTACCCACACCAGACAGTTCATGCCCGTGAACTTGAGCTTTGTGCTGTCATTCCTACCTCGAACCTCTTCCCGTTGCTTGGGAAAAGCTCCTGCAGCTCCCCGTGCTCTTGGCTGGGTGGGGACGCAGAGTCTGGCACACAGTAGGGATCTGTACAGTCTTGGAAGGAAGGCGGGTTCTCCTGAGTGCTGGCCTCTGTGTCCTGGGCAAGGGGTGTTCAGAGCTGCTCTGCCTCTTGGTCACACCTAAGGGTGTGAAGGCCCCGCCCAGACTCCACTCCTGGCTCCTATGGTGTGGCCTTGGCCCTGAGGCCCAGCAACTGACTCAGTGAACCAAAAATAAAACTCATAGTCTACTTTTGAACCGGTTGTGTTTGTTAAGATGCTTCCTTACATAGAGAAGGAGGCTTGTGACTCAGGCTCTGGGTGTTTATCTCTGTACACTACTGATCTGTGAAAATCGTTACCCTAGACATTCTGCATCATCTAAAAAATGTCCTTTCGCTTTTTAATGAACACTCTCGGATGCACTAATATTTAACCGGGACTTGCAGACTCAGGTCTAAAATAAAATCATTATTCTGAGAATACTTTGAAGTCAGAAAGTGTTGCTAATTATTCAATATCCCTTGTCCTTATTACAAGTAAGTTAAAAGGAGCTGGATGAGATTAACTATCGTGTTCATTTCCTACATGCATAATAGAATTTTAGATGCAAATGTGTGATCTCTGCTTAGGATGCAGAGTCTTTCTCCGTTTTGTTTACTCTGTACCCTTCCTAGTTGTTAGCAGCCTTCTCAAAAGTTAAAATGTCCTTCATCTGTCTAGGTTTATTCTTAATGGTCTTCGGGGTTCTTGTGAGGTTGTTTTTAATATTTTCCAAATTGATAATAATTGTGTTTTTAATGTGCATGTCAGTACAGCAGACATTTCTGCCTTTATGATAAGCGGTGAATTAATAGACCTTCTTCTACTTCTCCCCAGGGCAGCCCAATGGATCCGATGGTGATGAAGAGACCTCAGTTGTATGGGATGGGCAGTAGCCCCCATTCCCAGCCGCAGCAGAGCAGCCCCTACCCAGGAGGCTCCTACGGCCCCCCAGGCCCGCAGCGGTATCCGATCGGCATCCAGGGTCGGGCCCCTGGGACCATGGGTGGGATGCAGTACCCGCAGCAACAGGTTGGTGCTGGTTTCGCCCCCGTGCTTTCCATTTGTGCTGTTAGTTTCCACCGTCTTCTGTTGTCTACCTTTGTCGGTCAGGAGAGGTAGGGAGCATTTCACTGATTTTTCTGCTTTCTTTTAGTTTATTTCTTTAAGTAATTCAGATATTGTGTTTTAAAGATGGAAAGGAGACCCTCTTAGAACAGAGTGGACAAGGGTCCTATTTTGGGGAGGCCAGAGGTACTAGCTGTATTTGGAAGACAGACCCTGTTGTACTTCAGCTACGGATTATATAGATCCAACTCTGGAGTGAACTTGGCATTCCAGCACTTCTGAGGTCAGAGCATCAGGTTTTGAGCTGTGAGTAGCCTATCTTAAGGTGAATTTTCAAGCTATTTAAAAGTCTTTCCATGAAGATGGTATCAACTTAATTTTTTTTTTTTTATTTCCTAATGTTGACGTTGCTTTCGTTGCTTACCAAATTATTTCTTAGGTACTGCTGAAAGGATTTTCTGTATTTCATCTGCTAGGATTTGATGCTGTTTGTTGTCTTAGCTCTGGATAAGTTTTGTGCTTTTACTTAAATCTAACAAAAATACTTCCTGCTCTTAAACGGCAGACCCCACGGTTGCCTTCGTTTCCTCTGGCGTGAAATGGAGCTACTTTAGGTGGCCATTTGCCTTTGGACAGCAGTCAACCTGCAGTCTCTGGAAACTTGAGAGTATATCCTTGTTGTGCTGGCCTGAGGAAGCGTGGAATCTGGAAAAGACTAAATTAGATTCAGGCTTGTTGGGACATTTAGTTACCAGGCACACCAGCACGGCTTATTTATAAACTGCCATCCTGCACTCTGTGTCCTGGAGTGCATGGGGCAATGCGGGTGCATTTAATGCCTCCCAGACCAGGGCATTCCCTCCTACTGCCCAGCAGCCATTCCAGGGTTAACAGTACTTCCTCCCAGGAAATGCTTGCCTGCATTTGACCAAACGTCTTTTGTGGGGGCGAGGGGGAGGTGGGGAGAACCCTTGTTCTCTCTGGAGTGTAGAAAGTGATTTGGCCTACTTTACATGATGCATAGCTGGGTACTAAAGGCCCGTTAATAATTTGCCTCCGAGCCTCCTTTTTCATAGACTGAATATTGTCTTTGCCCTGTATCTTTAAGGCAGCTATGGGGGAAAGATAGAAATGGCTCAGGCTTTGAATCCTGGCTGTTCATTCCTTAAACAGTTTTTACTTTTGGAAAAATCTCACCCCTCAGTGGTTAAAAATGAGCCACTCGGAACTCTCAATCAGTCGGATACTTTAATTGTATGCTTAATTTTTTTCCGCATTCCTCTTTTCTTCCAGCAATATTTTGCTTCCTAGAGCAGGAGTGTGTAGTTGAGGCTACGGACTGTGTGTGGGAGGCGCGTTACAGGATGAAGCGCGGTGTGAGTTGTGATGTCATCACTCTTCCTCTTAGTTTTGAAGCCGCTTCGCCTTTAGTGGAGGGCGAGGAGGCCCAGGCAGCTGCTGCTGAGTCCTCATTGTGTGTTAAGCTGGTTGTGTTGGGGTCTCACAGTTCTGGAGGATACCCTGCCACGGGCAGAGAGGAGGTGGGAAGGCTGTGGGAAGCAGCAGGGCTGGGGTGAGGCGGGGAGAAGTAGGTGCCTCCGCTGCTAGTTTCTGAAGCTTCCTCTTCTCGTTTCCCTGTCAGGGGTATTGTGGCAAGCAACTCAGGGCTTCTTTCTCTCTCATCTGACTGGGGCAAGTTTTTGTTTTTTGTTTCTGCTATCTGTTACTTGCAACAGCCAGCCAGGTCTGGACCTGGCAGAAGCCGGGAGCCAGGCACTGCATCCCAGTCTCCCACGTGGGTGGCAGGGGCACAAGCACTTGAACCTTTAGCAAGGAGCCGGATCAGAAGCAGAGTAGCTGGAACGCAGACTGGAGGTCTTTTTATTAGAAGTTTTAGATATGGGCTAAGTTTGCAGTCTCAGAGCAGTCCAGCAGATGGAGGGTGTGTGTGAAGAATGATAACTTAGGAAGATTTTTTTCATTATTATTTTCCCAAACGTGTATGGCTGAAAGTAGAGGACGTGCATAAATATTCTCTCTTTGCTCCCTGATTTAATGTAATCCCTATGATGCTTAAATATTTTAAAAATATAATAACTCTTGTATTTACTTGAAGGGGTGAGATTGCTCACCAAGTATTTCAGCAAATTTTTTAATTAAGATTTTAGATTAGGCATTTTACTACTAATGAAAAGAAATGCCCAATTCTAATTAAGCCAGATCTTTCTGATAATGAAAGGAAAATAGTGTATCTGATAAGAAACTGAATATCCTAGGTGCAGAAATATCAACCTTTCATATTGACTTAATCATAGTCAAGGGTATAAATAATCTGTATTGTTTTTACCTCATTTAGTCGTAAAACAGCTTTGAAATATAGTGTTGTTTGACATATAAAAGGCTGAAAATAGCTGTGAATATATTTTTTAAAGGTGTGTAACCTTTTTTTTAAAGATTTATTTATTTTGTATTTGGCAAGTCAGAGTTAGAGAGAGAGAGAGAGATCTCCCACACACTGGATCACTCCCAAAATGTCTGCAATGGCCAGGGCTGAGCCATGCTGAAGCTAGGAGCCAGGAGTTTCACCTGTGTCTCCCTTGTGGGTGGCAAAGGCCCAAGTACTTGGGGCATCTTTCACTGCTTTCCCAGGCTGTTAGCAGGGACCTGGATCAGAAGTGGAGCAGCCAGGACTCAAGTCAGCAGCCTGTGCAGTGGCTTTACCTGCTATGCCACAATGCCAGCCCCAAGTGTGTAATATTTTGCAAGAGACATAGAGCTTTCCAAGTTCATGTGGACAGTTGTTAATAGTTTTGAAATGGAAAAACATAGTGAAGGTTTTGAGTAAAGGTTATTCAGACACATGCCCTTATTTTCTTATCTTTAGACTGTGTTCTTTGGTGAAGAATTTTTAATGAGTTGCTTTATTAGCAAATATTGGAAATTACGAATTTGTATACAAAGTCCATTGCAGCTCTGTGATTGGTTGCTGGTCCTATCCATCTTCTAGGATTAATGTAATTGGCTGAGCATTGTTGTCCTCCTGACTGCTAAGGTTCTTTAAGGAAAAAGTTGGAAGATAATCATGACATTGAGTATTTATTGAGTGGACGTCACCACCTAGGCATGACTTTGCCTTGGATGACTTCCAGAGCTTTCAGTGTTTGGTTTGTGAGCCTCTAATGAGCTGAATCCAGTTCATTTAATATTGCTCATATATTTCTGCAAAGGATTAAAATGCAGGAATTCAGGTTTATAAATTGAGTTGCCCACTTACCAGCTGAGTGGTAAGTTGTCTTTGGCTCAGGGGGTCACAGTTTGATTTCTGGCTGGCATTCCTTTCCTGTGATAGGAATTTTAAATGAGTGTTCAGGCAGAAACCACTGCAGTGCCTGTATGAAATTTCACATGGATGGTATCACTGCCTAGAGAGGCAGGGGGAACTGGCCTCTGAATGTTTGGTTTTAGTATTAACCTGGTGATCTTGATTTGTATGGTGATAATTTTGTTTTTGAAATGTCCTCATGACTGAGTCTTTGAAGCATGATGTGATAACAGTGCATCATTTTACATCATTTTAGCCTTTATTAACTGGAACTAGATTTGTGGTCTTTCACTTGCTGATTCTCTCACATCATCAGGCAAATACATGGCTAAACAGATTAGTTTTGCACGGTGCCCTAAAACCTAGTCTACTTGGGTTTTTATTGAGCTGAGAGGGGAAATGAATTTTCTATGCCTCTGTGGAGGATGTTCTGCCTCCAGGCTCCTGGAATTCAGACCGGGGGATGGTTAGCAGAAGTACACTGGCTGATTTCATCTACTACAGAGCTCCACAGAAGGTGCATGATCTGCAGGCTTACTGGATCCTGACACTGAGTTGTGCAGGTTTTTCCCCTAAACGTGAAGACAGCAAGGCACTCTTGCTGGATCATGGATGTGAGTGAGCAGAGGTTTTGTTTCATTTTCCTTGTCTCCTGATGCCCTGAATGCACACGAGGGCCTTTGCCAATTTGCTTTAAAGAAGATTTTTGTGTAAAAAATAGCACCCGGGAAACATAGGCTACAGAAGCTTAAATTATTTATTTGTGTCAAGCAAATTTCAGTTACGTGGTCTGAGATTCTTCTTGAGTTTTTGGGTTATTGGGTTGATGACTATCCTTATCTTGTCGCAGATGTTCGATTATGCAGCACATTAGAATTATAAAGCTAGGGAAGGGGAAGATGGCAAAATGAGAGATTTCAATTCATGAATGCTTTTATAATGGAAAAACAGGACTTTTTTAGTTTTCTCAAACACATTGGTACTGCGAAGACCTTTGCAGCGAGAGCATGGCGTATGATGGTTGTTTTGAAAGTGACAAAGGTAAATAGAAATCAGTTTTAAGCTGATCCCTCTGAACCTACCACTTTACATCTCAGTGAAAACCGAATTAAAAACAGATCTTTCAGCGACGACTTCACAAAGGCATAGATTCTCTAATTTGTGTCTTTAGTTTATCTTCTACACTCTTTTGGCTATGTTGATTTTCCTGCATGTTTTTTGACTAAAATATTTATTTCAGAACATAAGCATTTTATTTGGTACCATCTTAGCAGCCAAAACACTTCTTCCAATGCAAATGTTTATTTTGGCAGCAGATGTTTCTAAAAAAGAGGCAAACATTACAATTGTTTGGCTAAAATGCGTGTTTTCTCCGGGGTTACTAAGGCGGCCAGGCAGTTTCTAGGATTCCCACCTGTGTTACTTAGTATTTTGGTTTATTCTGAAGAATCTTTTTTTTCCCTCTCTTTCAAGTATAATTAAAACCATGTTTTGCTATAGTTTGAAAAATATCTTTGAAAAGTAAGGATGCGTGGGAGGACTGGTTTAAGACTTAAAAATTCCAGAGCTTTTTGGTATGAAATGTTTGTTTAAATTCAGTCATTGAATCCTAAATGTGAACGCAATAGGAAGTCCCTGATTT